TGACGACTCAACCTGAAATTCCTACATATTACTACCTTAAGCACAACTGTAAGAACTCTAACACTTTTTAGTTCATATTTGACTTTTTGTGACTTACTTAGAAAGCATTAATCCATATTTTAGTCTGTGATTGAGCCTTCTGTAATAACCACTGCTGACAGCCGTGAATGACACAGAACCACATTCATAAACACAGGCTTCTCCTTTCATCATATACGTCGCTGTTGTCATGGGAACACTTTTACGGCCTAAAAATCTCTACAACAAAAGCAGCTGTCGACACAAGGTGCGACGTGACCACAACGATACCGGACTCAGCCGTTTTAAAGTGACCACAATGATACCGGACTCAGCCGTTTTAAAGTGACCACAATGATACCGGACTCAGCCGTTTTAAAGTGACCACAACAATACCGGACTCAGCCGTTTTAAAGTGACCACAACGATACCGGACTCAGCCGTTTTAAAGTGACCACAACGATACCGGACTCAGCCGTTTTAAAGTGTCATAATGTGATAACTGCCAAGAACAGCGTAAATACAGCGTCAATAATCAGCGATAAATTAAACAGTATCAGTAAAAGCCTCCGGATAAATACATGTTTTGGTTTTGCCCGTACATTTGGTGCCGTAGTGTCACAACCAGAGACCGGGACCTGAAGTCAAAACATTTGCATCAATGTAGTTTTGGTGTTGCAAAGTTCTGAATGATTTTTATTTATTGCATTAAAGGAGATGTATTTTATTTTAAAGTATATATACTGTATTTCTGTGTATTTCTATAATAACAATAATAACAACACATTTTATTACATTTCCAGGAAACCTCAAAGGACTATCATGTACAGTACATTTCCTTTTGCACTTTAGTTTAACACACACTAATTAACACCTAAAAAGTGATTATTAGTGTATTTTTTATGGTCCTATAATATAGCTCTTAATTGGTATTTATTAAACACTTATTAGTCCTTATTCAACATTTAACTAACTACTAACTGACATTTTCCTATGTGGTTTAGGGCTAGGGCTAGAGCTGGGGTTAGGATTAGGGCTCGAGCTAGGGTTAGGGCTAGGGCCAAGGATAGGGCCAGGGTTAGGGTTAGGGCTCGAGCTAGGGTTAGGATTAGGGCTCGAGCTAGGGTTAGGGCTAGGGCTAGGGCCAAGGATAGGGCCAGGGTTAGGGTTAGGGCTCGAGCTAGGGTTAGGGCTAGGTCTAGGGCTAGGTCTAGGGCTAGGGTTAGGGCCAAGGCTAGGGTTAGGGCTCGGGCTAGGGTTGGGCTATGGGTAGGGTTAGGGTACACAAATTAGCACTTAATCAGCTGTTAATTAGTGTAATCTTCAATGTTACCATATTTTCCACCAATAATACATTTTAATTAGTTCTCCCCGTTGGCATAGCAACAGCCAGTAACATCAGCTGGCGGAGAACAGTTAAACCAATGAAAAGGGGCCCCAAGAATTTGAAATGATTCCGACCAATCAGGAGTCAACTCTCCAAAACATGATTTATATTTTGAATACAGGTCTTCCATGTTGCTCGGGATATTCCACATTACGGCTTTACTCAAGGATCAGCAGATGCTCCACTTCTTTTAGCAATAAATTAAAACCCAATGTAGCAGCTTCGATAATTGCATTAGCGCTGAACTGTGGAAGATTCCGGCAACCATTCGATCTCCATTCAGTCAAACAACAAAAAAGTCACGTAGCTGTAAGCTGTGAGTTTTACCTAAATACATAATCTACAGTTTACATGTATGTTTTTTTGCTTCTTACACATCCACCGGTTTCTCGTCCGGCTCAAAGAGAACATCGTCTCTGTCCGTTAGTACATCTTTGAAATCTACCAAAACAGTAAAATAAAGACACATGGATCTGCTTTTTAGGTTAAAGCTGGGGTATGCAACTTTCAAGTCATGTGAGACAGACTTCTACTCTGACAATGATGACAGATTAGGGCCCTTTCATGAAGAAGAAGAAGCTCTGTCAAAACGCCATCTTTCTGTGCGGTGTACGTTTGTAGCAACCGCACAAATAGAGAAAGACAGAGTTTGTTCATGTTCCAACTGTGTCTCATATAAAGGAGGACACTTTGGAAAATCACTGGAATGAGGCGGGCGAGGTGGATCAAGGCTTTCCCAGATAAGCGCCCCCTGCAGGCCACCCCAATGAAACACAGCCATTTCTTCTGTTTTTTCTTTCCAAAAATGCCCAAAATCAAGACTCTTTTGATAAATATTTGTTAGTGCTGCCTTAGAATTGAGTGTCCCCGATTAAGACTGTTCCAACAACCGTACACCGCACAGGAGGAGAGCCTTTGACTCCAAAACAGACTTTACATGGTTTTCAATGGGAGCAACACTGTCCCACCTCTGCTCATGCGCCCCCTACAGGCCAGGTTCAGGAAACACAAGACTATGATTTTAAAGCCTTCTGTTGTTTTGTTCTACACTTTGAGTTCCCGTGTTTGAACTGTGCTATACAAATAAATGTGCCGTAAATCCTTGTAACTAGTTCCTCACATTCAAAACAGTTTTCTTCAAAAACTACTTTTCATGTTTTTATGGCTCTTGTTACAGTTTTAGATCAACTTTTTCAAAAAGAAAAAGCCCAACATTTGAGGAAATTAAAGTTAGGTACCCCAGCTTTAAACGCAATACCTGTGTGTTTCTGCAGGCTCCACTTAGACCATAGATGAAGTCAGCAATCAGTGGATGTTTTTTTCGAGCCCAAATGAACCATCCACATATCACCGCTCCAGAATAAGCAAAACAAAAGTGTCCCTTTGTGAATCTCTCCAAACTTGAGTTTATAAATGACAAATAAAAACAGCTAGAAAAGCCTACTATGCAAGGTATGTCCCCTTTAAAGCAAAGAAACTAAAATCCACATATTTGGATGCAAGTTTCTTTTAAAATAAGATGTTTTTCTCCAGAACAGCCGAGGCCACATGAATAAAACAAAGCAGTAAATAGTTAATGAGAGAAGCTTTGTTCTTCTGCTGCAGCCGCGGGTTTGATCCGTGTCTTTGTCATCTGCACAAATGTTAACAAACACTTTGGATCATTCTGTTTTTATTTAACCATGATAAACGTTAGCTACACTGTAAAATCTAATATCTAGACGTGTCCCCATGATTTCATTGTGTTGTTAATGGCATTGGGCTGAAATAGTCGTTTTTTGTGATTCCCTAAAAGGAGGCAAACCCTATTAAACGTAAATATATACTCTTTAAAATGTAAAAATAAAAACATACTTAGCATTTGCAATCAAGCATCTATTTCTACCGTCACATGCCTATTTATTACATCGTACGAGAGTGGCCAGGTTTGGATACAGTACAAGTTTGATTTGATTTCTGACTTCTCCAGCAGCTCGAGCTAAGGTCAATCCCCAAAATACACTGACAAACTTTAAAGCTGCTCTACGTAACTTTTCCCAGCGTCTCTATGGAGATAATAGGGCTTTGTATAGAATGTCTCATGCAATAAGCTGGAGTCACATTGGGCCAGATCTCTCACTTCTTCTTCCACATGTTAGGGAAGAACCGCCCTCTCCACTTTCTGAACTAAACTCTCTGGTCTGATTGGACGAGCACGTATCACCAGAATGATTGACAACTGGGAGGACCAATAGTCGTAGCGATCCACCCGGAAGTAGAACATCCTTCTATATACCTTTAAGAAAAGCAAGAATGGACGATTGTGTGTCTTTCTGTGAGACATAGAAGCAAAAGCAGTGGTATCTCCAAGCCCCAGAGAAAAGTACACCGTGCTAATTAAAGCTGGGGTACCAAACTTTAAAACCACATCACATTTAGCTGTGAATCTAACTAGTTTCATACCATGGTCTGTGAGAATTCCAACGCTAACTGCCGTGGATTATTTTCAACTACAGTGCAGAGCAAAAGTTTGGACACCCTCTCTCCTTCACTGAGTTCTTTTCATGACTATTGCTGTAGATTCACACCAGAGACTCTCAGAGCTCAAGCTTTCAAACAAGATGGATGCTGTGGTTTGATTTGTTGACAAAATGTTCCCTGAACAAGTTTATTACTGTTGGGACAAACATGTTATTTATCGGGGGATTTACACAGTAGGCGTAAACAGCGCGTACGCGTTTACTGCGCGCTCTCTGCGCGTAACATTTTTTTGGAGTATCTACACTGACCGTGCGCGCAGGTCCGCGGCTTCTGATGCTCTCCCTGTGTAGTCTATGGAGCAGTGTAGAGGACAGTACGAGCCAAAGGACTGATGTAGAGCAACACAAATCACATGCATGTGTTTGTCTTCATGGTCTCTGTGCGCTGGTTTGGCCAGACGCGAGACTTTATGAAAGAAAAAAAAACGATGTCCAGAATCACTGTAAAACCTACTGCTCCTCCTGCTGATGTTTAGACACAAGTGCAGTGTGCGTGCAGATGTGATCTAAAGCCAAGGACCGCTAGAAAAATAAAGTTTTACATGAGATTTCAATGGGAGACGCGTTGGTGCGCGCACAAAATTAGAAATCCATCCTAAATTAGAGTGCAGCTTCGCGTCATACGTCCGTCATACGCGCGTATAACGCTAGAAGTGTAAATATCATCATAGGTTAACATGGAAAAAAGTTACGCGCGTCTGCTGCGCGTATAACGCGTACGTGCTGTAACGCGTGATGTGTAAATTAGCAGTATGAAGCAATAAAAGTTAGGTACCCCAGCTTTAAGTTTCAAAACTCAAAAGCCTTATTGTTGTGGGTTAATGTCTAGATTTGACTCACGGCCGTTGCTCTGATCCCTCCTGTATTCATGGGGTTCAGAACAGTGACCAATACAGACAGTTACCATGGCGATTGACCATTTAACAACAAACATATTGCATCTATTGTCAAAACTGGTCAAAATCATCATCACAGGAGCCCGAAACCCACAAACATGAGCATTTTCTCCCAAACAAAGTAGAATGTTTACGTTGTCGGCGTGTGTGGCGGGGAGGTGTTTTGTTTTTGCGCGGTTACTATGGTTCCCAGTCGTCGTCATGGTGCTGGGACGCGATGATGACGACCACGGTGAGGATGGTGCAGAGGACGATGGAGGCGATGCCCACGGCCAAACTGATGAAGGAGAAGTTTCGAGCTTCACGTGACGCGATCTCCGCCGTCACCATGTCGCCCCGAGCGATGGCCGTCCGCACCTGGAGAGAGAGACCAGAGTGAGACCAGAGAGAGACCAGAGAGAGACCAGAGTGAGACCAGAGAGAGACCAGAGAGAGAACAGAGTGAGACCAGAGAGAGACCAGAGAGAGACCAGAGAGAGACCAGAGAGAGAACAGAGTGAGACCAGAGTGAGACCAGAGAGAGACCAGAGAGAGACCAGAGTGAGACCAGAGAGAGACCAGAGAGAGAACAGAGAGAGACCAGAGTGAGACCAGAGTGAGACCAGAGAGAGACCAGAAAGAGAGCAGAAAGAGAGACCAGACACTCTGAAAGAGGACTGTGGTTCTTTATGAATCCAGACTTTTAAACCGAGCTCATAGAATAATCACTGACTCTTCTGGGCCCTGAAAAAGCCATGTTCCAGCTTCTTCCCTCTGGGAGAAGATACAGTATTCGGCCCCCTTGAACCTTTCAACATTTTTCCACATTTCAGGCTTCAAACATAAAGATATAAAAATAAAAATTTCAGGGACGGCCGGGTCTTGGTAGATTTGCAGTGGTCTGATACTCCTTCCATTTCAATATAATTGCTTGCACCGTGCTCCTTGAGATGTTTAAAGCTTGGGAAATCTTTTTGTGTCCAAATCCGGCTTTAAACTTCTCCACAACAGTATCTCGGACCTGCCTGGTGTGTTCCTTTGTCTTCATGGTTCTCTCTGCGCTTTAAACAGAACCCTGAGACTATCAAAGAGCAGGTGCATTTATACGGAGACTTGATTACACACAGGTGCATTCTATTTATCATCATCAGTCATTTAGGACAACATTGGATCATTCAAAGATCCTCACTGAACTTCTGGACTGAGTTTGCTGCACTGAAAGTAAAGGGGCCGAATAATATTGCACGCCCCACTATTCAGTTTTTTATTTGTTAAAAAAGTCCACTTCACGATTGTGTCCCACTTGTTGTTGATTCATGAAAAAAAATTAAAATGTTATATCTTTATGTTTGAAGCCTGAAATGCGGCGAAATGTTGAAAGGTTCAAGGGGGCCGAATACTTTCGCAAGGCACTGTATGCTAAGAGCTTCTTTCTTTAAGTTGTTAACAGTTTGAACACTTTAAAGCTCTTGCACTTGCGACAAATATCTCAGAATGTCTTGTATTAGATGCATAGATGCATGTTGGGGACCAGGTGTGCAAATGAGCCTTGAGCTTGATGGTCTATGGACATGGCATCAGTTATAACGTAACTATGTTCTTCGTTCTGTCCCTCCAAATAAACCAATAAATAAATAAAGCACAGACAGACAGCAGCTGAGATGAAATGGAGATTGAGGGAAGCCAAACAGATTACACAAACTTTACATTACGCAGCTGTTGGTTGGCCTTATCCCTCTCCCATGTCTGTGGGGAACATCTAATGACCTTTTGACTGGAGAGAGAAACTGGAAAAGAAACCAGCTTCTTGTGATTACTTTTTCGTGGCAAAAAATATATAAACAATGTCAAAAACCTCACATTCCACATTCCCCAGTGGTAAGTGACATCTGCACATCCAGAATATGTCCTCATCAACACAGTCTGTGAGGCGTATGATGATGGCAATCTTTAACTAAACCACTTTGAGAATGTCAAAAGAAGGACCTGGTTTTACTGCAATATTCACTGCTTGTTTTTAGACTTATACAGAATTAGATTTTTGGGTCAAAGCTGAAGAAAGTGGTGGACTTTTCACACATCCATTATTCAAAAGCCTCAAAATGACCCGGACCAGTCTCGTATTATTTACCTGCAGGTTTTTCGAGAAAACAGTTACAGCGCCATTTGATCCGTGTGGTGTGACAGAGACTTGTGAGTGGTGGCGGCCATCTTGTGATTGTAAACACTCCAAACATAGTGACAGTAGAAACATGGTCTGATTCTGTGTTAGTTTCATTAAAACAAACCAACTCTCTCTGGATTGAACCTGGATCTGGAAGTGGAGGGACATCTCTGCTGCCCTTGAGACCCAGCAATGGATAAAGCAGAAGAAAATGGATGGATGGACCCCAAGGTTATCTGAGCAGAATGTTTAGAATAAACAAAATTATATGGTTGTTTTCTTGAGATAATTAGCGTTAAAATACTATAAAGAGGTCCCTCACTAAATTATTCACATTTTGCGGTCTCACAGATCTGTGTGTGTGTTATATTTATAGCATGACTACTCTGTATGTATCCTACTAGGTGTTGTATGTTTATGTGTTTGATGGTGTGGCTATCATACACATAAACATACAACGCCTAGTACCTAGTATGACATGACAGTTACGTGGCTTGAGTCCATGTACCCCCGGTTGGGAAACACTGACTTTACAGCCCCTTAACTTGATATCTGTAAATATCTGCTTTTCCACCAACACATATCTTAGAATAGAATAAATCAGCTATTTAAATAAATATGGATAGATATAAATGTTGAAAAGGCATTTATATCTATCTATAGATTTAAATGTCATTTCTATTATTTTAATGCAATTGAATTATTTCTTGTATCGCTCTGAATCACAACAGTAGTTCTCTCTGAGGACTGAATTCACACGCACAGATCCTAGGATCAAAGAGTTCAATAAAACAGAAAACACATTTGTATTGGTCCATGAGTCTCCACCTCGGGGCGAGAGCTGAGCCACTGGTCTCTGGATCTAATTCAGAGTGTGGGTTCGATCCCACCACCACCCATGTCATCTGCTCCCACTGATGTCTGCTGTCGCTGTGTCCCTGGGCAAGACACTTAACCCCACTTTGCCGGGAGCCCCCGCTGAAAGACCAAGGGAGTATCTGTGATGAAGGAGCAGCCATCTTCCTGTGGACCCAGTGAGGGACTGATGCTTTGTGAAGTGGGTGCAGCTCAGATTTGCCTCCCCCCCGACCCAGAAATGGATAATACATGAATGAGTGAATAAAACCTAGTCATTTACGTCCACAGAACTAAGATTGCGCTGTAATATATAATATAAGTAAGTAAGTAATTTTTATCTATATAGCTCCTTTCTCAGACCAGAGTCAAAGCCGTTTACAGTTGTGGGCTTTAGTCTGTGACTCCACACAGAGATGGGAGGGGCCAGTACAGGAGGCACAGACCTACTGTACATGTTTTTAGTCGCAGGGGAAACCGGAGCACACAGAGGAAACCTATGCAGACACAGGGATACAAATGCAAACTCCACCCTGTTCCAACCGGGATTCGAACCCAGGACCTTCTTGCTGAGAAGCGAGAGTGCTAGATGTAGTGTATATGGATTTCTATGGATTCTAACAGTTTTGTCCATATGATTTGGACCTGATCCACTGAGCGCTGATGCAGAGTTGGACACACACAGTTGGAGAGGTATCGATGTGAGAGCAGCGGCCTCTGCGCTGGTGTCGGCTCAGAGCAAACACCAAAGGAAAAATCTATTTGCTCCTTTCCACCGACAATAGGGCTGTTACGTAACGGCTGCAGACACAGGTCACATGATGCAAAACACCAGAGACACGGAAGGAAGGCACTGGGCACATGTGTGTGATGTAATGTGTGTGTGCGTGTGCGTGTGCGTGTGTGTGTGTGTGTGCGCGTGTGCGTGTGTGTGCGCGTGTGCGTGTGTGTGTGCGTGCGCGCGTGTGTGTGTGTAAAAGTGTGATGTCATTGTACCACTATGACATCACACACTTATAAAACCAAAATATTGGCCATGAAATAATTTAGGCAATTTCTCAGGTCAAATCAGTTTCTTTACAAACACATGGCTGGGTTTGCAGATGCTAATTTTTGATATAATAATAAGATTTAATAAAATAGACTCCTCAATGAAATGACAAAGTGAATGACATCAGTTTTGTTGAGGCAGAATGATGTTTCTCCTATTCTGTCCTGAACGTGGCACAACATTGTTGCATCTGGATTGGAGACTAGAAAGTGACGTGTGTGTGTTCATGTGTGTGTTCATGTGTGTGTTCATGTGTGTGTTCATATGTGTGTTTCTGTTGAAATCAGGACGCTGTACATTCATGTGTCCTTCCAACATGTAAATGTGCCACATGGGCTCGTTACTATCCGTGCTCCAGTTACAGGATCTAGCCCCAAAAACATATCGGAGAAGCGAGCCGAGCAGTTAAAGCTGGGTGACCTGATTTTCTAACCGTGAAATAGAAAGTGAATATTCTCATCACACAACTGTTCATTATTTTTCTTGCTTTTTTCTGCCTGAGATGTTGCTGCAGTTCAGTGTTCATGGTTTTACACTGGTCCAGACCCGAGCAGAGAGGATTCATGGTTTTACACTGGTCCAGACCAGAGCAGAGAGGATTCATGGTTTTACACTGGTCCAGACCAGAACAGAGAGGATTCATGGTTTTACACTGGTCCAGACCAGAGCGGAGAGGATTCATGGTTTTACACTGGTCCAGACCAGAGCAGAGAGGATTCATGGTTTTACACTGGTCCAGACCAGAGCAGAGAGGATTCATGGTTTTACACTGGTCCAGACCAGAGCAGAGAGGATTTATGGTCTGAAACAAGCGGCAGCTGCTGTGACCTTAAGCGCTGTTTCTTATTGTTACTATTGTTAGATACTTTTTAGAATTATCTATTTATTTACGTTTTGTTTGTTTGGATGTGTTTCTGCGGCTGCTGGACACCTGCATTTCTCCAACAGGGATCAATAAAATATCTATCTATCGATCTATGTTTCTCCAGGACTGGGCAGAGGTAATATTTCCAAATTCATTTAGACTTGACACACTCCGTCAGTTCTGAGCTTTAAAAGAAGATACAACGTGTTCAATTTGATTCAGATTTGACAGGACTGAGGTCAGCAACCATAATGGAATCATCTGTCTCTCTCTCTCTCTCTCTCTCTCTCTCTCTCTGTGTTTTATCAAATTACACCCTCCTCTTTCACCCATGCATCCACCCATTTTCTTCCGCCTGATCCCTTGCCGGGTCCCAGGCGGTCTGAACAGAGACACCCAGCCCTCCCTCTCCTCAGCCTGACCCCGGGCTCTCACCTGCACGGCTTTGATGATGGCGATGATCCCCGTGGGCCAGAAGCAGCAGACGGTGGTGAGGACGGCGATGGGCAGGTAGTCGTGGGGGGGTCTGCGGTCCATCAGAGTGATGCTGGGGGGCATCTGCATGGGGTGGATCTGCCCCGAGGGGAGGCCAGGGTGTCCCGCTGTGTTCGGCATGTACGGCTGTCCCTGAACGCACCACGCAACCAGAGAGAAGAGAAGAAGAAGGGAAACAAAGGGGAGGCTGAAATACTGCGAAGTACAGGACCTTCATTAAAGCTGGGGTACCTGAATATGGACGAGATTTATACAAGAGTCTCCAACCTGTAGCCCGGGAGCCACCAGTAGCTCGCCACCCCCTTCCAGGTAGCTTGCCAAAGGATTTACAAATGAGCAAATCGAAGAATATTCTTGATTTTTCAGATTGTATTGTTCATTATCATTATTGAGGAAAGTAAATGCACCGACATGCAATGATCAGAACTGACTGTTCCTTATATCAGGCTCGTTCACAGGCTGCTCAAAAAGAAACTGTGACCGACTCAAACCATGTGAGTGAATTATTATGATGTTTTTACAAGTGCTTTGTGAACGTACTCAAAGTTTATTTCAGAACAGAACCTCAGCTTTTCCTCTTAAAGGTGAACAGATTCAGCCCAGAAACAAACCGATTTTAGTTTATTTTCATGTTTTCCAGCCGTTTGTTCTGAGCTGTGTCCTTCCTCTGCTCGCACTGTTTGGGTGAATTATTAACTGCAAACATTTGAGATTGTATTGTATTTTAGAACAGAGTTATTGTTCATTTCCTGCTGCTCTGTAACTGCTGATGCAACACTGACATTTCCCCACAGTGAGACGAGAGCATCTGTTAATCTTAAAGGTTGACTCACGGATGCCATGGGGTAGACGGGCACGTATGCGGTGCAGGGCTGCAGCTGGAGGGGGTATCCCGGGTGGATGTACCCCACTGGAGGGTGAGGCGCCTGTGTCTGGACCGTGTAGCCCTGAGGGGGGGTGCAGTGGAACTGGGTCTCCTGCAGGTACCCCTCTGCTGTAGAGGTGGGGGGAGGGGCGGGGTACCCAGGCTGCCCACCCGGAGGAGCCCCAGCAGACCCCCCCATGTTGGGGTCAGGACCAGGCAGGTACGGCGGCGGCTGCATGGACTGACGACCCGCGTCGTCCAGACCTGACAGGACGACAGGGAGAATGAACTGTAGAGAAAAGATGGAGTCAAAAAGACACAGACATGACTCTGACTCGTCTGAAGGGCGTGGCCCGAACGCAGGTGTGTAAAAGTAAAAGTGAGACGCAGGTGTTTAAAGTGAGACGCAGGTGTTTAAAGTGAGACGCAGGTGTGTAAAAGTGAGACGCAGGTGTTTAAAGTGAGACGCAGGTGTGTAAAAGTAAAAGTGAGACGCAGGTGTTTAAAGTGAGACGCAGGTGTTTAAAGTGAGACGCAGGTGTTTAAAGTGAGACGCAGGTGTGTGAAAGTGAGACGCAGGTGTTTAAAGTGAGACGCAGGTGTGTGAAAGTGAGACGCAGGTGTTTAAAGTGAGACGCAGGTGTTTAAAGTGAGACGCAGGTGTGCAAAAGTGAGACGCGGGTGTGCAAAAGTGAGACGCGGGTGTGCAAAAGTGAGACGCAGGTGTTTAAAGTGAGACGCAGGTGTTTAAAGTGAGACGCAGGTGTTTAAAGTGAGACGCAGGTGTTTAAAGTGAGACGTAGGTGTTTAAAGTGAGACGCAGGTGTGCAAAAGTGAGACGCAGGTGTGTAAAAGTGAGACGCAGGTGTGTGAAAGTGAGACGCAGGTGTGTGAAAGTGAGACGCAGGTGTGTGAAAGTGAGACGCAGGTGTTTAAAGTGAGACGCAGGTGTTTAAAGTGAGACGCAGGTGTTTAAAGTGAGACGCAGGTGTGTGAAAGTGAGACGCAGGTGTGTGAAAGTGAGACGCAGGTGTTTAAAGTGAGACGCAGGTGTGTGAAAGTGAGACGCAGGTGTTTAAAGTGAGACGCAGGTGTGTAAAGGTGAGACGCAGGTGTTTAAAGTGAGACGCAGGTGTTTAAAGTGAGACGCAGGTGTGCAAAAGTGAGACGCAGATGTTTAAAGTGAGACGCAGGTGTTTAAAGTGAGACGCAGGTGTTTAAAGTGAGACGCAGGTGTTTAAAGTGAGACGCAGGTGTTTAAAGTGAGACGCAGGTGTGTAAAGGTGAGACGCAGGTGTTTAAAGTGAGACGCAGGTGTTTAAAGTGAGACGCAGGTGTGTAAAGGTGAGACGCAGGTGTTTAAAGTGAGACGCAGGTGTGCAAAAGTGAGACGCAGGTGTGCAAAAGTGAGACGCAGATGTTTAAAGTTGAGACGCAGGTGTTTAAAGTGAGACGCAGGTGTTTAAAGTGAGACGCAGGTGTTTAAAGTGAGACGCAGGTGTTTAAAGTGAGACGCAGGTGTTTAAAGTGAGACGCAGGTGTGTAAAAGTGAGACGCAGGTGTTTAAAGTGAGACGCAGGTGTGTGAAAGCGGTTTACAGATGTGGGCATTAGTCTCTCTCTCCACACAGATATGGGAGGGGCCAGTACAGGAGGCACAGACCTATTACACATGTTTTTAGTGGTAGTGGAAACCGGAGTACCCGGAGGAAAACTCCACTCAGAAAGGCCCTGTTCCGACTGAGATTCGAACCCAGGACATTCTTGCTGAAAAGCGAGAGTGCTAACTACTCAGCCACAGTGCCGCCCACCACATACTGTTGTCCCGCTTGGAGAATTATGTTGGGATCAGAGGTGTAGCCCTGTCCTGGTTCAGGTCTTATTTGACTGACAGGAGGTTTTCCGTCTGGGTTGGTGATGCTGAGTCCTCCATGGCTTCACTTACGTGCGGGGTTCCCCAAGGGTCAGTGCTTGGACCTCTACTGTTTTCATTGTATTTGTTGCCTCTTGGAGAGATTCTTCGAAAACATAAAGTGTCTTTCCATTTTTATGCGGATGACTGTCAATTGTACCTGCCACTGACTCAGTCCAAGTCATTGATTGTATGTTTGGATGAGGTCAAAACATGGATGGCTTTTCATTTTTTGCATTTTAATAACAAGTAGACAGAAGTATTCATTTTCTCATCCACGGACACTGCAGCAGCTGTTCCTGCTGAGCTTGCCCCCCTGGCCACGGCTGTGAGCCCAGTAGGGACAAATCTTGGAGTAAAAATGGACTCCTCTTTAAAACTGGATTCCCAAATCAGTGCTGTTGTGAAGACCAGCTTTTTTCAACTGAGGCGACTTGCCAAAGTCAAATCGTTTTTATCTCGTCATAACTTTGAAATTTTAATCCATGCTTTTATTACCTCTCGCTTAGATTACTGCAATTCCCTCTATACCGGACTCAGTAAAACCTCACTTTCACGCCTTCAACTTAACTGGAACGCACCCATGTGACCACATCACCCCTATTCTTTGTTCTCTTCACTGGCTCCCTGTGCACCTTCGTATTGATTTTAAGATTCTGTTATTTGTGTTCAAATGTTTGCGTGGATTGGCCCCTCAGTATCTGACTGATCTGCTTGTGCCCCACACCCCGTCACGGGCTCTAAGATCAGCAGACCAGGCTCTCTTAGTGGTCCCTAAGACCAGAAAGAAGTGGAGAGGGGATCAGGCTTTTGCAGCAGCAGCCCCCAGACTGTGGAATGGTCTCTGCATATTAGACTGAGGGACTCACTTCCTGTTTTTAAGTCGCTTCTTAAGACTCATCTTTTTACTTTGTTTTAACTCAGTGGGTTGACTTTCTGTGCAATTTGTTTTCTTGTATATGTTTCTATTACGGCTGTCAAACGATTAATTTTTTTTTGTTGATTAATCGCATAATAATGGTGAGTTAACTCACGATTAATCGCATTTTTAACATTCTATTTCAAATCCACTCCAATTGAAGTTAAATGAGATTTTCAAATGTAATGACACATTGTTATTCATACCAAATGTACTTAAATCTGTTTGACTTGCTCACAACCTTCTACTTTTGGGTACAACCAACAAGAGCTGTTAATGAAAGAGAAAATGTAGGTACCCCAGCTTTAATTTTGCGAGTTTGGTTGCATTTCAGCGTGTCTCCTCCTCTCCTCCATGTGTCACACAACATCAGAGAATGGCCCTGTGCGTGTATATATATGCGTGTATTATATGACCACGTTACCGCTGTCACCATCACACACACGCATGTGTCCGTGGCATTCTGAGTGATATTATTATAAATGGGCGGGTCATTCGGACATGTGATTGACTGCCAGCCTATTTCAGAACAGGTACTTCCATATTGCCAGCCGTTTCTGATGATTTTTACTGAATTTTCAAGACCCACAGAATATTGTGTACTATGACTATCTGAAATCCAAAACCAGATTATAAAAGAATGGACTGTCTACTTTCATCAGCAAAAATAATTTTGTTTCTAGCTTGTTTCGTTCCCCTGTAATCCCCAGTCGAGTAGAGGTAAGTTTTATTGAAATCACCAGAAAGCTGAGAAAAAAGAGGCACATGTGCATCTAACTGTTTTCAAACCATTCATAGAGCAATGCTGCCATCTGCTGGCTCGATAAAATATTTCCTCAAGCCTTACATATTTGATACAATAGACATCTGGGAACGTGAAAATAGCGGGAAACGCAGTTGACATATTAACACGTCAATGGCAGTTAATGCGTAATTAAAATTAACGCGTTAATCCATCCATCCATCCATTTTCTTCCGCTTTATCCGTTGCCGGGTCGCGGGGGCAGCAGTCTAAGCAGAGACGCCCAGACTTCCCTATCTACACACACTTCCTCCAGCTCGTCCGGGGGGACCCCAAGGCGTTCCCAGGCCAGCTGAGAGACATAGTCTCTCCAGCGTGTCCTGGGTCTTCCCCGGGGCCTCCTCCCGGTGGGACGTGCCCGGAACACCTCCCCAGGGAGGCGTCCATGAGGCATCCTGAACAGATGCCCGAGCCACCTCAACTGGTTCCTCTCGACGTGGAGAAGCAGCGGCTCTACTCCGAGCTCCTCCCGTGTGACTGAGCTCCTCACCCTATCTCTAAGGGAGCGCCCAGCCACTCTGCGGAGGAAGCTCATTTCGACCGCTTGTATTCCGCGATCTCGTTCTTTCGGTCATTACCCACAGCTCATGACCATAGGTGAGGGAGGGAACGAAGATTGACCGGTAAATCGAGAGCTTCGCCTTTCGGCTCAGCTCCCTCTTCACCACGACGGTCCGATACAGCGACCGCATCACTGCGCACGCTGCACCGATCCGCCTGTCAATCTCACGCTCCATCCTCCTCTCACTCGTGAACAAGACCCCGAGATACTTGAACTCCTCCACTTGAGGAAGGACCTCTCCACCCACCTGAAGAGGGCAAGGCACCTTTTTCCGGTCGAGCACCATGGCCTCGGATTTGGAGGTGCTGATTCTCATCCCAGCCGCTTCACACTCGGCTGCAAACCGTCCCAGTGCATGCTGTAGGTCCTGGTTCGTTGGAGCCAGCAGGACGACATCATCCGCAAAAAGTAGAGATGAAATCCTGTGGTTCCCGAACCGGACCCCCTCCGGCCCCTGGCTGCGCCTAGAAATTCTGTCCATAAATACAGTGAACAGAACCGGTGACAAAGGGCAGCCTTGGCGGAGGCCAACATGCACCGGGAACAGGTCTGACTTACTGCCGGCAATGCGAACACAGCTCTGGCTCCGGTCATACAGGGACCGGACGGCCCTCAGCAGAGGACCCCGGACCCCGTACTCCCGGAGGACCCCCCAAAGGACACCCCGGGGAACACGGTCGAACGCCTTCTCCAAATCCACAAAGCACATGTGGACAGGTTGGGCGAACTCCCATGAACCCTCGAGTATCCAATGGAGAGTATAGAGCTGGTCCAGTGTTCCGCGACCGGGACAAAAACCACACTGCTCCTCCTGGATCCGAGATTCGACCATCGGACGTAGCCTCCTCTCCAGTACCTTGGAGTAGACCTTACCGGGGAGACTGAGGAGTGTGATCCCACGATAATTGGAACACACCCTCCGGTCCCTCTTCTTGTAGAGAGGGACTTCCAGCCCGGTCTGCCACTCCATTGGCACCGCCACGCGATGCTGCAGAGACGTGTCAGCCCAGACAGTCCTACAACATCCAGAGACTTTAGATAGTCAGGACGGATCTCATCCACTCCCGGCGCCTTGCCACCATGGAGGCTGCCAACCACCTAGGTGACCTCGGCCAGGGAGATGGAAGTATCCGCCCCAACATCCTCAGCCTCTGCCTCCTGGACGGAGGACGTGACGGGGGGATTGAGGAGAACCTCGAAGTATTCCTTCCACCGCCCGACAATATCCCCAGTCGAGGTCAGCAGCCCTCCACCCGCACCATACACGGTGTTGGCAAAGAACTGCTTCCCCCTCCTGAGGCGCCGGACGGTTTGCCAGAACCTCTTTGAGGCCGACCAATAGTCATGCTCCATGGACTTTCCGAACTCCTCCCAGTCCCGGGGTTTTGCCTCTGCAACAGCCCGGGCCACGGCACGTTTGGCCTGCCGGTACTGGACAGCTGCCTCAGGAGTCCCACGAACCATCATTGCTCGATAGGACTCCTTCTTCAGCCTGACGGCATCCCTTACTGCCGGTGTCCACCACCGGGTTCGGGGATTGCCGCCGGGACCAGCACCAGAGACCTTGCGACCACAGCTACGAGCCGCCGCATTGGCGATAGAGGAAGAGAACATGGTCCACTCGGACTCGATGTCCCCCTCCTCTGCCGGGACCTGGGAGAAGCTCTCCCGGAGGTGTGAGTTGAAAGTCCGTCTGACAGGGGGCTCAGCAAGACGTTCCCAGCAAACCCTCACTACACGCTTGGGCCTGCCAGGTCTGACCGGCCTCCTGCCCTGCCAGCGGATCCAACTCACAACCAGGTGATGATCGGTTGACAGCTCCGCCCCTCTCTTCACCCGAGTGTCCGAGACACGCGGTCGAAGGTCAGATGATACGACAACAAAGTCGATCATCGACCTCCGGCCTAGGGTGTCCTGGTGCCACGTGCACTGGTGGACACCCTTGTGCTCGAACATGGTGTTCGTGATGGACAAACTGTGACTGGCACAGAAGTCCAACAACTGAACACCGCTCGGGTTCAGATCAGGGGGGCCGTTCTTCCCGATCACCCCTCTCCAAGTGTCACTGGCGTCTCCCACATGGGCGTTGAAGTCCCCCAGGAGAATAACGGAGTCCCCGGGCGGTGCACTGTCCAGTACCCCTCCCAAGGACTCCAAGAAGGCCGGGTACTCTGCACTACCGTTAGGCCCGTAGGCCGTCACAACAGTGAGAGACTTGTCCCCCGCCCGGAGGCGGAGGGACGCGACCCTCTCACTCACCGGGGAGAACTCCAACACGTGGCGGCTGAGATGGGGGGCAATGAGTATGGCCACCCCAGCTCGCCGCCTCTCCCCGCGGGAAACACCAGAAAGGTGGAGCGTCGAACCCCTCTCAAGGAGTTGGGTTCCAGAGCCCAAGCTGTGTGTGGAGGTGAGGCCGACTATCTCTAGTCGGTATCGCTCAACCTCCCCCACAAGCTCGGGCTCCTTCCCCCCCAGTGAGGTGACGTTCCACGTCCCAAGAGCCAGATGTTGGGTGTGTGAACTGGGTCGTCGAGGTCTCCGCCTTCGACTGCCGCCCAGTCCTCTCAGCACTGCGCCACCACGGACCCCTCTGCAGGTGGTGGGCCCACATCAGGGACTGCCCACGTCATCCCTTCGGGCTGAGCCCGGCCCGACTACTACAACTACTACTACGACGACTACTACTACTACTACTACTGCTACGACTACTACAGCTACTACTACGACGACTACTACGACTACTACAACTACTGCCACGACTACTACGACGACTACTATGACTACGACGACTACTACTACTACTACTACTACAGCTACAACTACTACGACTACGACTACTACTACAGCTACTACTACGGCTACTACTACTACCACTACTACTACAGCTACGACTACTACAGCAACTACTACTACGACTACTACTACAACTACGACTACTACTACGACTACTACTACGGCTACAACTACTACAACTACTACTACAGCTACAACTACGACTACTACTACGACTACTACTACTACTACGGCTACTACTACAGCTACGACTACTACTACGACTACTACTATTACTACGGCTACTACTACTACAACTACTACTACAGCTACGACTACTACTGCAGATACAACTACAACTACTACTACGGCTACTACTACTATGACTACTACTATACTATGACTACTACTACTACTACACAACTACTACTACAGCTACGACTACTACTGCAGATACAACTACAACTACTACTACGGCTACTACTACTATGACTACTACTATGACTATGACTACTACTACGGCTACTACTACTAGGACTACTACTACGACTACTACTACGACTACTACTATGACTACAACTACTACTACGGCTACGACTACTACAACTACTACTACAGCTACGACTACGACTACTACTACAGCTACGACTACTACTACTACTACGGCTACTACTACTACGACTACTACTACGACTACTACTACAGCTACGACTACTACTATGACTACTACTACTACTACGACTACTACTACTACGACTACAACTACTACTACAACTACTACTACTACAGCTACAACTACTACTATGACTACTACTACTACTACGACTACTACTACGACTACTACTACGGCTACGACTACTACGACTACTACGACTACAACTACTACTACGACTACTACTACAACTACTACTACAGCTACGACTACTACTATGACTAATACTACTACTACGACTACTACTACAGCCTACGACTACTACGACTACGACTACTACTACGACTACAGCTACGACTACGACTACTACTACTACGACTACTACTACTACTACGACTACAGCTACGACTACTACGGCTACTACTACTACGACTACTACTACAACTACGACTACTACTACGGCTACTACTACTACGACTACTACGACTACTACTACAGCTACGACTACTACGACGGCTACTACTACTACGACTACTACTACAGCTACGACTACTACTACAGATACAACTACAACTACTACTACGGCTACTACTACTATGACTACGACTACTACTACGGCTACTACTATGACTACAACTACTACTACGGCTACGACTACTACAACTACTACTACAGCTACGACTACTACTGCGACTACGACTACGACTACTACTACGGCTACAACTACTATGACTACTACTACAGCTACGACTACGACTACTACTACGGCTACTACTACTACTACGACTACTACTATGACTACAACTACTACTACATTTACGACTACTACTATGACTACTACTACTACTACGACTACTACTACAGCCTACGACTACTACGACTACGACTATGACTACAGCTACTACTACGGCTACTACTACTACGACTACTACTATGACTACGACTACTACTACAGCTACGACTACTACTACGGCTACTATTACTACGACTACTACTACAGCTACGACTACTACTACAGATACAACTACAACTACTACTACGGCTACTACTACTATGACTACGACTACTACTACGACTACTACTACGACTACAGCTACGACTACTACTACTACGACTACAGCTACGACTACTACGGCTACTACTACTACGACTACTACTACGACTACGACTACTACTACGGCTACTACTACTACGACTACTACTACAGCTACGACTACTACTACGGCTACTACTACTACGACTACTACTACAGCTACGACTACTACTACAGATACAACTACAACTACTACTACGGCTACTACTACTATGACTACGACTACTACTACGGCTACTACTATGACTACGACTACTACTACGGCTACTACTATGACTACAACTACTACTACGGCTACGACTACTACAACTACTACTACAGCTACGACTACGACTACTACTGCGACTACGACTACGACTACTACTACGGCTACAACTACTATGACTACTACTACAGCTACGACTACGACTACTACTACGGCTACTACTACTACTACGACTACTACTATGACTACAACTACTACTACAGCTACGACTACTACTATGACTACTACTACTACTACGACTACTACTACAGCCTACGACTACTACGACTACGACTACGACTACAGCTACGACTACGACTACTACTACTTTGACTACTACTACTACGACTACAGCTACGACTACTACTACGGCTACTACTACTACGACTACTACTACGACTACGACTACTACTACGGCTACTACTACGACTACTACTATGACTACGACTACTACGACTAATACTACAGCTACGACTACTACTACGGCTACTACTACTACGACTACTACTACAGCTACGACTACTACTACAGATACAACTACAACTACTACTACGGCTACTACTACTATGACTACGACTACTACTACGGCTACTACTACGACTACTACTATGACTACAACTACTACTACGGCTACGACTACTACAACTACTACTACAGCTACGACTACGACTACTACTGCGACTACGACTACTACTACGGCTACAACTACTATGACTACTACTACTACTATGACTACTACTACAGCTACGACTACGACTACGGCTACTACTACTACTACGACTACTACTATGACTACAACTACTACTACAGCTACGACTACTACTACGGCTACTACTACTACGACTACTACTATGACTACAACTACTACTACGGTTACGACTACTACGACTACAACTACTACTACGACTACTACGACTACTACTATCACTACGGCTTCGACTACTACGACTACTTCGACTACAACGACTACTATGACTACGATTACTACGACTACAACTACCACTACTACTACGACTACGACGACTATGACTACTATGACTACATCTACGACTACGACTACTACCACTACTACTACCACTACTACCACTACTTCTACTACATCACTAGACTTTATCACAGATGTATACAGGCAGATATATAATTCTTGCACTAGAGTAAACAGTATTTGTATGAAGTATATTGTGCAGTATTTAATATTCTTGTATCTCGTGCTGTGTCCTCCTTGTTCTGTAACTTCTGATGCAACACTGACATTTCTTCGCTGTGGAACAAACACAGGATTCTCTTAAACCTAAAATGATCTCTGTTCAGTCGGTGAGAAACAGCCGCAGTCCACTCTTTCTAGAACAGTAGAAAGTATTTAAAGCATAGTTAGTGTAATTCTCTGGGTCTGAATATTTCCACCTGTGTTGTTATTTTCACGCTGGTAAACAAGATTTTGACTCAAACGACGCCAAAACAAATCAAAGTCGTGGCTCTGATGTGAGAAGGGAGCAGTGAGTCTAAAACTGAAGCCTCAGATCGTTTAAAAAACAGTATAAATAGTTACTGCGCAGATCCTCACTCTGTTCTGTCTGAAAAGAACTGAAAGACACTGAGAATAAACCTCCAGGTGGTTCTGGCAAAGATCCCGTCTGTGAGGTTAGTTTTCACTGGATCGATAGATAGATAGATATGTTATTGATCCCCGTGGGAGAAATACAGGTGTCCAGTAGCAGCAGAAATAAAAAATGAAATGGATCATTCTAGAAAGCTAACAATAGTAATAATCAGCAACAGCCTCAGGTCACAGCAGCAGAGGTGGAGCAGCCTCTGGGTGGAGCAGGACAGGTCACAGCAGCAGAGGTGGAGTAGCCTCTGGGTGGAGCAGGACAGGTCACAGCAGCAGAGGTGGAGTAGCCTCTGGGTGGAGCAGGACAGGTCACAGCAGCAGAGGTGGAGCAGCCTCTGGGTGGAGCAGGAAGGTGGAGTAGCAACACAAGAGTAAAAGGTCCATACCAACGTAGCCTCTTGGTTCAGACCATTTTCTCTGCTCTGGTCCAAAGTAAAATGCTAAATGCTTCATTAGTATTTCTCAAAAAGTTAGAATTCCTCCAGTGGATTTTCACCTGATCCACTTGGTTGGGACCATGAATCCTCTCTGCTCTGGTTTCAGAGACACTCAGGACTCGCTGCGGTTTCAGAACATTCTAAAGTAAACTCCATCCATCCATCTTCTACCCCATCCTCTGCAGGTGGTGAGTCCACAGGAGGACAGCTGCTCTCTGAGTGTGAGCATAGCCTTGATCTTTCAGTGGGGGCTTTGGGCAAAGTGGGGTTAAGTGTCTTGCCCAAGGACACAACGACATCAGTCATCAGTGGGAGTCGGTGGAGAAGGTGTAGAGGTGGGAATTGAACCCACGACCTTCAGGCCTGAAGGCCAATGCTCTACCAACTGAGCTACTGTCG